ATTATATTCAGGTTTTAATATTTAGTACATGTATGTAATTATACTCAGGTTTTAATATTCAATACATGTATGTAATTATAACCTAGAACTTAGAGATTTTACCTACTAGCTCATGTTGCTGTTCTGCAGAGCGGAAAGTTAAATTTAGTACCTACATATACAGTACTGTACATATGTTGTTAAAATGATGTAGGTTCAAAGTTTATAACATTGCAAGAGTGTGGGAAGAGTTTCTAAAACCTTAAAATATATAAATAAAATAAATATAGTGTTGCTACTTTGTGGTTTTTCACGGACTGCGGGCAGGTTCTGAATCGAACCCCTCAATAAACGAGTGGCTGCTGTACAGACATAACCGTCACCCGGCTGCGTGTAGATCCGTTGTAAGGTTACACGTAAAGCACATTTGATGTAAAAAAAAAGTTTCTTTACTCTTGTATCAAACGTGACAGAATATTTGTTTATTAAAACGACTTCCCGACAGACTTCAGCACATAAATAAACAAATGTTACGTAAAACTGTTTCTGATGAAAATCTCTCAAACTGTGTTAAAACTCACAACGCTGCTGATCTTTTAATAGAACCATGTTGAAACTAATCCAGCTTTTATCTGGAAAACACAACGGATCAATCAAAGTCTTTGATTTAGGAAAAAGAAACAGGCGAGGAAAATATAAAAACTACATTTATTTTCTATATTTCTATATATATATTGTGTGTGTGTGTGTGTGTGTGTGTGTGTGTGTGTGTGTGTGTGTGTGTGTGTGTGTGTGTGTGTGAGTGTGTGGACCTGTGCTCAGCAGCAGTTTTCAGAGCTCCTGCTGATCAGTCTGTTCCTGCTGCTCTTGCATCAACAACTGTGTGTATTTGTGAGTTTGTTTCTGTTTGCGTGTCCTGCTTTGTGCATCAGCTACACACCGATCAGCCACAACATTATGACCTGGCACTGTGTGGCTCTGTACGTAGGAATGTTTGTATGGTACAGATGCCTCGGTGTTAACTGGTTTAATGACATTAAACGTGTGTTAACTGGTTTAAAGACATTAAATGTGTGTTAACTGGTTTAATGACATTAAATGTGTGTTA